TTTATCAGAGAAATAAGAGAGCGGAACCGGCTGTTCAAACCCCCACAGGGCTGCCCGCTGGATTCGAAGCGACGGGACGAGGCGCGACCTCTCACAACGAACGTAATATGGTCAACACCTTGGAGACGCTTACAGCTGCTGTGAAGGCTCAAAACAACACCATTGAGCGTATGAGGGGAAACATCAGAGAAAGGCCTGCTCAAAATGACACCCTTGAGCGACAGTTGGAAAACATCGCGGAACGGATCACTGCAGTTGTGAGGTCTCAGAATCAAAAGACTGACAACACCATGGAACAGAAGTTTGATACCATCATGGGGAGGCTCGCGGCTCTCCAACGGGAGATCGAGGGACCAGTGTCAGAGTGCTAAATTCGAGCTGCTCACAAAGGAGAAATCAACAATATTCAACATTTGGACACCACGGCACCAGCTGCTAGGCCCAAGGCTGGAGCCCACCAAAACAACTCCCTGATAACGACTGTGTGATGACTATTCTTCCCGTCCCATGAAGGCCACCTGGGTTGGCTGGCAGACTGTTTACTTAGTCTGATAGAGCGAAGGACACTGTCTCCGCTGAACTATGGACACGCACACACATACACTTACACTGATAGGCACTCACTCATCCCCCCTCCCTTTCCAACGCCTTCGATGCTTGTTTCCGGCGAGGGAACACGGCGGGTCTGTGTGCCGCGCTGGAATGATAGCGCTGTGCAGGGTGGCTGCTGTGTTTCTTCGGATTACTCCTCACCCCCCACCCACCCCTGTGGCTTGTCATGTCTTCACAATGTTGTGCTGTGGACATTTATGTGCTTTTTTGTGCAAAGGAGTTTTTTTGTTTCCTGTTCTCATCCTGTCCTACCATGGAAGCACAGCATAAGTAGGGGTCTCTTTTTCCTCTTGTACTTTCCCCACTGTAGTGTACATTTCAATGTTTTTTCTCTGATTCTACCAATCTCCGACCTGTATCCCCATGTAATGTTTGTGCTATATGTGTAAGGTCTGGGGGGGTCCCATTTCACTGCAGGGCAACCTGCATGTGACGAATAAAGCTTTGATTGATTGACGACTGCAGACCTGCTGATGGTTCCAACACCATCATTAAGTTTGCAGATGACACCACGGTGATTGGCCTCATCAGTGACAACGATGAGGCCGCCTACAGGGAGGAGGTGGATCGTCTGGCTGAGTGGTGCGACAGAAACAACCTGCTGCTTAACACCGAGAAGACCAAGGAGCTCATCGTGGACTACAGGAGGAATGCTGACCCACATCCACCCATCCACATTAAGGGGACGGCTGTGGAGCGTGTGAGCAGCTTCAAGTTCCTGGGAGTCCACATCTCCGAGGATCTCACCTGGACGACCAACTGCTCCAAGCTGGTCAAGAAGGCTCACCAGCGCCTCTTCTTCTTGAGGACTCTGAAGAAGAACCACTTGTCCTCAGACATCCTGGTGAACTTCTATCGTTGCACCATCGAGAGCATCCTGACCAACTGTATAACAGTCTGGTACGGGAACTGCTCTGCCTCGGACCGGAAGGCGTTGCAGAGGGTCGTGAAAACTGCCCAGCGCATCGCCGGAGCACCACTTCCTGCCATGAAAGACATCTACAGGAAGTGGTGTCTGAAAAGGGCTGGGAAAATCATCAAAGACCCCAGTCACCCATCACATGGACTCTTCACCCTCCTGCCCTCTGGGAGGCGCTACAGGAGCCTCCGGACTAAGACCACCAGGTACCGGAACAGCTTCTTCCCCACAGCTGTCAGACTCCTGAACTCCGCCTCCTGACATCTGACCCACGTTAACACATGGACTGAACACCCACACACCCACAATGGACAACTGTACCCTCAAACACACAATAATAACATGGACTGAACCACCACTCACAACCACTACCACTTTATATAGCCTCTGTAGGAATTATATCTCACTTATCTTAACTGCACTACTGTATAGCTCTGTGTAAATAATCATTCTGTACATTCGATAATTTTTAACCCTACAACTGTTTACAACTTGCATAGTTCCCATTTCTGTATAGCTGTATATCCCAGATTCTGTAAAGTTATTTATTTCATATTCTGTATAGTTTTTCATATTTATATCCTGTTCATATCCTGTACATAGCTTGTACTCACTACAGCCTGTACATACTTATAGTTATATAATATTCACAACATACTTCATACCGTGTACATTATAACATACCATAATAGACCCATTTATGTAATATACTCACATATCTATATTATTGCTAATATATATTGTAATATATCTATATCACTAAAACACTTCTGGATGGATGCAAACTGCATTTCGTTGCCCTGTGCATGTGCAATGACAATAAAGTTGAATTCTAATTCTAATTCTAAAATATTAGAGCACTTTTGCAAATATAAATATATGTTATGTCTTGATAAACTGAGCAGATATTTGAAGTTTACACAGCTACATTCTTGCCTGAAAATATCTTAAAAGTTTATTTTGTGACCCAGTAAAAGTAATATTAAAGCTAAGTAGCTACCACCATTGTTGGAAACTGGAATTGGCTGTGAATTCTGGGATAGGTTGGGCCACGAAGGACACATTTGGAGCAGACTCGAATGAAGAGCCTTCGTCGCCTGGCTGTGACATAATCGGCCTTCAAATGCACCCTTCAATGGATGCGCCCTATTTTGCGCGATCCTGCAAAAGTTCATTTTCATTTTTTTTCCCTCCAATGTCCCTTGCGGGGTTTTGTACAGATGGGGTTTGAGCTGCCAGCTTCGCACAGATCTACAAATGTAAAATGCGTTCAAGCCCCAGTGTAAAATTGGGATATCTAGGCTTCCAGTGTATCCCTGCGTTTCTTTTTCTAAATAAACGGAACAATTCGTAACCCCTTTTACTAGAAAACACAGATTTACCAATTACAGACACTCAACAGTAGCCTATAAATGTTTTCGTATTAGGCTTTTTATATGGTTTTTGTAAGTGAGGTGTTGATCTTTTTTTTTTGCTTGGAAAAGCCAGCCAGTCAGCAGATGGAGGACACATTGGTTGCACTTCACTGTGGATCATCCTCTGCAGTGAGTATATGCAAACTAATATCTGTTTATTTTGAATATAGAAATCATCCAGGTATAATGGAATAACACTTTGATGGTTATCTTACCATTCTCTAATGAAACCAGGCTAAGATTAATGTTATCCTAATGAATAATCCTAAACATGTCAGGATATGGCAGGCTATTGTGTGGTGTCTGTAGATAATAAATATGTTTTCTCGTAAAAGTGGTTACATGTAGTTTCGTTTATTTAGAAAAAAGAAACACAGGGAAACACTGGAAGCCAAGATGTCGCAGTTTTACACCAGGACATGAATTCATTTTACATTTGCAGATCTGTGCAAAGCCGGCAGCATGAAGTTAGTTTCAAATCTCCATGTGGGTATCAAGCGATTTGTCCACGTGTGTTAAAGGTTTTTTTTAAAAAGTAAAATTATTGGATTCATGATGTTGAACTTAATAAATCGTACATAATTGATCAGTATTTATTCACTTTTGGATTTACTCATTTGTAAAATAGATTTATGTGTGGTCAGCAAAGATGGGCAGTAACGCGTTACTGCAATCCGATTTACTTTTTTCAAGTAATAAGTAAAGTAAGGGATTACTATTGCAAAAAAGGTAATTAGATTACTGTTACTTTCCCATAAGCACGCTGCATTACTGCGTTACTAAAACCGTGATTTCTTTTGCCAGTGTCTCATGAAAATGAAGTGAGTGCGACGTTCGTGGCAACAGCTGTGTGCAGATCAACAATGGATAATAAATGGAGTGCAGAGAGAGTATGAGCGTGCAGCGTTTAAAGCGTGGAAGTACTGAACTTTGAGTTTGATTCCGTAAAAAGTGACAAAAACATTAGCGTCCACTGTTCACTGCGTGGGAAGAAAACGTCTTTTTACAGCGAAAAAAACCCTTAATTCCGAGCGAGCACGAGTGCGCTATGATGTAATGGGAAACTCACAGAGAAACTCGCGTATCCTTCCACTGACCGCCGCGGCACACCTGCACCAGGGCAAACATCCGCCTGCTATACAGGTGAAAACAGAGCAACAGGACCGCTGAGTCTTTGATTTTATTTATTTTCTGCTGTGTTTCACTTGCATTTATTTGAAAGACTGAGTGTAAACACCAAGAAAATATTTTATTTTATGTGCTGGAATGTGCAGAAAATTGGTTTATATGTTAAACAAATTTCTTCCAGTTAGAGAATGTTGCATATAATTTAATTTTTGCTTGATGCATAAAGTTAAAAGATTAAAATTAATAAAACAAGTTTTAAAAAGACTTTTCCATTTGATTACATTTTGTATGATGGATTATGCAGAAAAAGTAGAATTGGGCTGAAAGAGCTATCGCTTTATCACCTATTCAGGTTGTAAATAGTGTTTTTTAAAAGTAACTAAGTAACTAAGTAATTAATTACTTTTGAAAATAAGTAATCAGTAAAGTAACGGAATTACTTTTTGGGGGAAGTAATCAGTAATTAGTTACTGATTACTTTTTCAAGTAACTTGACCAACACTGGTGGTCAGATTGCTTTGTATTTGTGTGTGAGTCATCCAGGCGCTCTCGAGTCTTTGAAAGTTACACACTTATTGTACACATCTGTAGATATTACTTTACCCTTCTGGATTATGTTGTACACATTTGCAACACTTAACACTTAAGGCAAATTACTCTCCATACCGATATTTATAAACAACCCAGGAGTCCTGTAATATGATCTGAACAGGATTGATTGAAGAGTTTAAAATTTGAAGCAGCCAATACACAAGTAGCCTCAGATCACCTGTATATCAAAGATGTGAGACTCTGCCTCGCACCTCTTTTCCCAAATTGCAAATCACTTCACAGCTGTACTAAGGGTAATGTATGTGGCAGTTATGCCTCATGTGAGCCCAGCATTTTTCTCCTAATTGGATATCTATTTATTTTTCTGTGAACAGTTCCCAGTAAGCCCACTGTGACCCTGCAGCCACCCTGGACTCAGATATACAGCGGTGAGACAGTCACTGTCAGATGTGAGATTCAGGGAGGTGAAGGAGCTCAGTGGACGTATGAATGGAGAGCAGCCAAGTTAAACACACCTCCAACATCCAGTGAATACAGAATCATCAGAGCTGCTGAGTCTGACAGTGGAGGATACAGCTGCCAGGGCAGAAGGGACTATTTCTTCTCAGAGTGGAGTGATATCATCACACTGACTGTATCATGTAAGTTGGAGATCTTTCATCTATAATAGTTAAAAAAAAAATGCTTCTTTTTGATACAACTTTGTAGCTGTCTTAGTGATGCTCACTAAATAGTTTTTGCTTTCAGTGGGCAAAGATCTTAAACAGATACTTTTTTCATTTTTTTTAATAAACTTAAAAGTTTTTTTTCTTTTCTGATGTTGTTGCACACGTGGATTACAGAAACTTGCAGAAACTGTATTACGATGTAGTTAGTTCAGGTCTTACTCTCTAAGGCCAAGGGGACACACAAGTTTGTAAATGTGATAACTAAAGAATGAAGCGACATGGCAGTTTGAAATTGATGCCATAGGTGGGTCTACTGGGAGGAATCCATTGTGTGATGTTTACATCTTCTCTTATGGGAACGCTGGCATCCTCCCACAGTCAAAACAAGTTTTACAAGTACACAACTCCAGAGATGTTGATTTCCACTATTCTTCTCACTGTTAAAGAAAAACCTTAGAATTAGAAAGTGTTCATATCTCTGCAGTAGAAGATATGCTTCTTCTAGAGTCTAATCAGTAAATTATTTCATACTTCAATATAATATTTACTATCATTTCAACAAATATATCTCTAAAACAATCAATTAAATATTAAAGATACAGTGCAGCTTACACTGGAATAAGAGCCTTGAGTGAGTCTGGCTGTGAGTGACACCCTGGTAAACCCATGATGGAATTGCAGGTGTAGAAACAGGAAATCCTCTTTTCCAGTGAAATAGACAAATCAGTCTCACAGTAAGGTTTCTGCTGAGGAGGAAGATGAGAGTTTGCTACACAGAGTATAGCCAGTCAGTTTAGATTAACTTCTTTTTTTAAAATTTGGGTTTAAAACACAATACAAGGTGAATTCATGTTTCTAAATTTCATTGAAGACCAAACAGAAAGACATTTGTTTAACCTGTTTGACATTATGATGTTCATATGGGAAATACTTGAATTATAAGTGGGAACAAAACAGCAGGATAAAAGCTCCAAATCAAAATGAATACAGGATTAGATCTGCTTCATCATCCAACAGTAGAAACTATCGCTGTAAGGGCAGAATGAAAAGTTCACAGCATGAAACAACAGAGTGGAGTGATTCAGTCACACTGACAGTTTCTGACAGTAAGTAGAGTCATAGTTCATTTAACCTGGAAATAGAAACAGTTTGTAAAAATTTGTTTTTATTAGTACATGTTGAGATATTTGACATGTTTAGATAGTCTCACTCTGAAAGTTCATCATAAATATTTGTGAGTCAACATTTTAGTGACATTGAATTCAGAGTTAAGAGACGAAAGATTGAGAGAAAATCTTTGTTGAACAGATGAACCCCGTCCTGTCCTCACTGTGTCTCCATCATGGCTGAGTCCTGGAGCCTCAGTAACTCTGAACTGTGAGGTTGAACATCCGTCTGCAGGATGGAGCTTCTACTGGTATAAAGCTGTTCCTGATCTATCAGAGAAATCCTCCAGTTATGAGCTGCTACCTGATGGCAGTGGGACTGCACAGGACTCCTACATCATTCATGGACAGACACACACAGCAGGATATGTGTGCAGAGCTGGAAGAGGAGACCCAGAGTATCACACTGATCACAGTCAACCAAAGTTTGTCTGGTCTGCAGGTGAGAGATTTTGTCTTTCCTCTCCATGACTATTTACCCTCTATTTCCAGTGACAAAGATAAAATGAGATTTAAAGCCCATATTGGCAGATGACTGGTACTTTTATGTTTTCTAATTAGGTATTTCCTAATTACAACCTTTTCTCCACCATGGAAACATGGAGGGCAGATTACACATGGGGGGAGTAAAATGAGGAGATTATTTTGAAAAGAAGAGGACACAGACAGGCCCAAAGAAACAAACATCCACTCATCTGTTGACTTCCTTAACTCTAATTCAGGGTTGTGGGGAACATTGAGTCTATCCCAGCTGTCTTGAATGCTTGGAAAGAAGGAAACAGTTACCTTCTTTTCAAGTGCTCACGACTATGATGACCTGAGAATGACTGAGGACCCACAGATGTATCTCAGCTGTCACAGGGTGGTGAGAAATGGCCTGTATTTATATAGCGCTTTACTAGTCCCTAAGGACCCCAAAGCGCTTTACATATCCAGTCATCCACCCATTCACACACACATTCACACACTGGTGATGGCAAGCTACATTGTAGCCACAGCCACCCTGGGGCGCACTGACAGAGGCGAGGCTGCCGAACACTGGCGCCACCGGGTCCTCTGACCACCACCAGTAGGCAACGGGTGAAGTGTCTTGCCCAAGGACACAACGACAGAGACTGTCCGAGCCGGGGCTCGAACCGGCAACCTTCCGATTACAAGGTGAACTCCCAACTCTTGAGCCACGATCGTCACGAAATGGGGCCCAAGAAATGAACAACAAACTAAAAAAGATGAAAAAGACTGAATCAGAGAGGAAAAGAAAATACTGGTAGAAAAGAGGATAAATAGATGAACACAGAGACTGAGTGTTAACGTGTGACAAGAAATAAAGATTTGGAGACATGCAGAGGTTTAGTAAAAGGTTTACAATATTCACTTTTTCAGATGTTCATTCAGCAGCGTCTCTCACAGTGAGTCCTGACAGAGTGCAACACTTCACCTCTGACTCTGTCTCACTGACCTGTGAGGGAAACTTCACTGAGTGGAGAGTGAGGAAGTTCTCTGAGGACGGCTTCCTGTCTCACTGTGACTGCCAGAAACTGCGTGGATCCTCTTATAAGATCCACAGCTTACAGGAGGGTGTTACAGTGTACTGGTGTGAGTCTGACTCTGGAGAGTTCAGTAATGGAGTCAAACTCACTGTGCAAGGTATTCATTAGTTTTTGTTTTTCTAAATTTAAATTCTTCACAAATCCAATTGCGTCAATACAAATTTTAAAAATTTCATGCTGTCTGTTAGAGACACCACTCAGCAGGTTCTAACAACTGACTCTGTCATTTGTTTCTTTCATTATTAATTTATATATTTATTACTTCTCTTGGATTTTAGCATATATATATATATGTGTATATATATATGTGTATATATATATATATATATATATATATATATATACCTATATATATATATATATATATACCTATACCTATATACCTATACCTATATACCTGAAATGAGTTTTCTCATTTCAGGTTTTGGACGTGAAAGAAGTTCATTTATCGTTCCGTTCATCATCGGACTTGTTAGTGGAATTATTGTCGTGCTGCTGCTGATGTGTTGCTACAGAAAAATAAAGAGTGAGAGATTTTCTGATCGACTTTAATTTTTTTTTTTTTAATGCTGCGACACTTTTAAACAAACTGATGTAATAATGTTTGTGTTTTTTACAGAACCCTGTTGTAAAAGGTTGGTGCAGCAGTTTAGTTTCATTTTAAACACAACAATAACTTTGAATTATTCCTCATTAAATTTTCATTATTTGTTTCAGTCTCACTCAGTCTCCGAGCACCAATCAAAGCTCTGCTTCACAACAAACATCCAACCAGAATGAAGCTCAGGTTTACTCCTCTCTTCTTCATGGTGAGACCAGAAATGATTACTTTTCTCTTTATTACAGTTTTTAACACTCAGTTTCTTATCAAGAAAAAAAAAAACTATTAGATAAAAACAAAAATAAATCATTATATTTAACTTCTTTTATAACTCCTATTTTCAATGACTTGTAGGTGATCTTTCAGTCTATGAATCAATCAGAGGCTCTGGAAACACTGGAAGTGGTACAAACAGTATAAACTTTGATAATAGCAGAGCTGTAAGAAATGTAAATATTTATTCTGACTGATCAAACTTCATTATTATTTCAGCAGATGAATACAACAACGTCACATCTGGATTTCAGCTTGAAGGTCTTGATAAAAGGAGTGAGTACAAGAAACATGAAATGTAATAATTGGTCGATTGTTTTTGTAACTTGTGTAATTTTAGAGGAAGACAGTCTCCATGTTATTAAACACAATAATCCATCATCACAACAGGCAGACATGATGGCACAGAGGAGAGCTCTGACTAGGGATGGGTATCGAAACCCGGTTCTTGTTGAGAACCGGTTCCCACTGTTTCAATTCCTTGGAATTGTTTGCCATTTTTGCAAACGATTCCCTTATCGATTCCAGTCGCCCCGAATGACGTCACCACATTGCGGACCGTCATTTACTAAGCGGCTCAAACGCTCAAAAGTTTGGTTATACTTTACGAGACGACAGGGCAACTTGCAATAGAGATTGAAAATGTGACGTCACTCAGGGGTAAAACTGCAAAGAATTCTGGGAACTCGTGGCAAGAGGTACTAGCGCACGCAGGCTTTCAATTGAAATCAGTTAAACAGCGATAAAAAGAAACACAAAAAATGGCAAGAAGCTGTTGTATTATTAACTGCAATAGCCGGTCGCATGACAGCCACGGAAAGCCGACGGGTAAAGAGATCAGTTGTTATCGGATTACGTCGTTGAAGAGAAATTGTTCGAGCCATGTTTCCGAAGTAACAAAGAGGCGACTGGATTGCAGCCATTCAAAGACCAAATATAATGTCCCAGAACACTCCAGCTCACAGGTTAGTCTGCTCCAAGCATTTCCACAAAGGTCAGTCTGCTGTTGTAGTTAATGCGTCATTTTTCTTAACATAATTGGTGATATAGGTTACAAGCACGTCTGGCGCTGAACAGAAATTGTCGCGCTATGTTCCTTTGTTTACTGTGCATAAATAGTAAATTGTCCTGACCAGTGTTGGGTAAGTTACTTTAAAATAGTAACTTAGTTACATTATTAGTTACTTCTCTCAAAAGTAACTCAGTTACTTCAAGTTACTCGTTACTTTCAAAGTAACTGAGTTACTTTTAAGAGAAACTAACTTTGGTTTTACTCAGAATTCTCTTGTTAATGTGTTGCTTCCATAACTTTGCCAGTCTTCTAGCTTGCTTACTTGCCGCAAGTGCACTGTGCCACCTACCAATAGAAAGGATATGATAACGTGCATATTTCCACGAGAGAAATTCCACGCCTGGACCGTCATTGACTGCTGCCATGATTCTAGCCTACGTCACAGTGTCATGTGCGCCTTTTACATCCAACACAAAAACTGCAGTTGTGGTGCTTTGATTGTACTCAGAACTCGGAAATTCTGCCTTCTGAATAGGAAGATGTAGGCAACACCAGACTGCAGATGAGCTGCATACAGAGCTGGACTGGGACAGAAAATTGGCCTGGGCATTTTGACTAGAGACCGGCCCACCATTATAGGAAAAATCATAAAGCCTTTGAATGAAAATAAACACTGTTTTGATGGTATATATGCATCAATCTATCAATCGTTTGTTGTAAGATTCAGATAATTATTTTTTAAATGCTAGACATTTTAAATGAGAATAAGAAAGAAAAGTATTTCATTGTGGCCCCCTTTCCCTGTTAATGCCCTACATGCCCCCCTGGCAACACTTTGCTAGACCCGCCCCTGCACAGTTACCAGCTGTCAGCTACCTAAAAAAGGATCCTGGGGTTATTTGTCTCTCAGAAACAGTTCATAACTTCCCTTCAACTCATTCATGTCACCTAAAAGGTAAACCTGTTTCTCCATCACCTGTTCAGCTCTGATGATCCAGTAAGGACATCTCCTGGTTTCATCTTCATGTTTCCCTCTCACCAGATATCCAAACCATATCATGACCAGCAGCTTTTTTGCAGCTGTGGCTCCAGCAAACATCAGCTGATACTAGAAATTTATATTAAATAAATTCTAACAATAGCTGATCAAGCTTAAACGTGCTGCTGTTGTTTAGCGCGACATCCGCTGGTTTCCTCTTTCGGCGCAAAGTGGGCGATAAATAAACAAGAGAGAAAAGATGATCAGCTGATCATTGATCAGTTTCATGATTGAAGTAGAAATGGGAGAGGGAGGGTGAGAGGATGAGAGAGGAAGAGGCAGCTGTGCAGCAAAGACACAGAATAACTCCAGCTTTGTGCCTTTTTCATTGTAGCTGAATTATGGGACAAACTGTTCCTTTTCACCTCAATAAGAAACGTGTAATATTTTCTCTGAATACGAGACGGGATGGTTGGCAACTCTAATAACTTATGAACAAAATAAAGTTCAACATCATTAACTTCATAGCACCCACCCAGCTGTATAGAAACTCTGTCATGCTAGCTAGCACGCAGTACGGGAAAAAGTCAGAATAACGAAAATAAACTCCACCTAAACTTGGTTTATATCTGACCCAGAGAGACTGCAGGTCATAACTTCTTACCTGAAGTTCAGTTCACACTTGGACCGGCGGCCGCCTCGGGTCTCTTTTCCTTCTGCGTCCCTTTTCCTTCATCCACCTGCTGGCTTCCACCACTTGCTAATGTTACTGAATCTGTGGAAGCTCCGCGATAGCCACCACACGAAGTAACGAGTAACGACCCTATCTAAATCCCAGTAACGAGTAACGCGTTCCTGATTTTGGCATAACTAGTTACCGTGCTCGTTACCACAATAATAACGTAGTTACTGTAACGCGTTAGTCCCAACACTGGTCCTGTCACAATATTGCGTTTCGCTTCTGTTATTGTGGTACATTGACAAAAACATATACTTTTATTCACAGGATAAAACAGTTGTTTTGTATCACTAATTGCCCATTACGATTACAGCATACAATATTATTGTCACTGCTACATTTCTGTGATGCTACCAGAAATAATTTCCACTACTAATTAATTACCATTGAGCTCAAAGGTCCTATTAATAAACTGTTAACGAATGTGTATTTATGAAGACGATTTGTGAGACTGGTAAATATGTACGATGGGCTTTACTTTCTACACGGTGCATTTCAAGGTCCTGTACCCATCCGTCGGTAAACTGTACCTGGGCTTGTTGCAGTGACCTGAAGTTACTAAACTTCATGAGTGTATGCACTCACTCCAAGAACCGTATAATTATAAATATAAGCGTGGTGAAAGTTGGGCAGCACGCTAATGTATTTTGTCCCTCTGTGTGCTCGTAAGGGTCTGACCCTTTCACTGGTTTGATTTTTTTTCCTCGTATCTTTTCTTTGTCTTTTCATCAAGTCTGTCTTTGTACGGACCGGCATTGTTCTCCTTCGTTTTGTACATACCTTTTTGGGGGGCAAAGAAAAAGCAAGAATTCACTGGAACCGAAGAATGAACGTTTTGCGGTGCTGCAAATGCTTGCATTTGATGCAGGTACTTGGATTGTTTTGCCACGAGTTCCCGGCATGCAATGCACGAAAGTCACGCGGTCTGTCAATCTCTATACTTGCAAGTAGATATTTCTTTTAAGGGAGGAAACACTACGAATATGCAAAAGCATTTGCTCACAAAACACGCAATGACCTTAAATGAATGTCGTGTTTTTAATTCCGCTCCGGACTCATGAATCTCAACCCAGCAGCAGCGGTAACGTTTGTATGTCCTCTCCCGTTAATGCGGCAGGTAAATAATCAACTAACAGCGCATATTATGTTAGCGTGATCTGCCTTATTACAAAACCTGCCATTAGTGTGCATTTAGGCGACCATGATGAGAGAGACAGACAGAAGCTGTGTTCCAAAATCTCGGCTGCATCCTTTGGAGGACGCGGCCTTCGCGGTCTACGTGGGCTGGGTCCTTCGAAGACCGAGAAGGCCGGAAGTGCGAGGCTGTGAAACGGAACGGTCTAGCCTTCAGATTTGCGTCACCGCTGTCTCGGTGGAGTTTAATAAACTTGGCCGTCTGCTCCTTGCTATCTAAAATATAACAGGACACTGGCGTAAATTCTCGACAGTCTCACACTTCTGTTTAATCAGTTTTCTGTTTGACGTTTATTCAGCTGTGTGAAAATCCTGGAGGAACCCACCAGATAGATTAATAACGTTTTATTTAATCTAATAATCTAATAACTTTGATCTCAGCCAAACTGATTTACTCCGGAACCAATAAAACACAGAAAAAAGGCAAACAATTACATTTTTAAGTTATCCGAGTGACTTATATGTCATGTTTAACCTGAGTAGCGAAAGAGCGGCGGTCTGAAAACGACGAAGCCGTGATTCCGCTGCTCTCGCCGGCTCGAGTGACCACTGAACCCCCCGGCTTGCTATCCAGCAGGTGGCTAACAGACGTCTCCAAAAACGTCAGCGCACTTTTGCAAATATGCAATGTCTTGATAAACCAAGCAGATATTTAAAATTTACACAGCTTCTTTCTCGCCTGAAAATATGTTAGAAGTTTATTTTGTGACCCAGAAAGATTAATAAGAGTAATTTTAAAACTTAGCAGCGGCCGCAATTGTTGGCAGCTGAAATTTGGCTGCGCCGCGCTATGAATTCTGGGATATGGTTGGCCACGAAGGACACACCCGACCCATCCTTCAAATTCGGGGAAATGAAGGACGCATTTGTCGGCCGCATTTGAAGGAGTCGACGAATTGGTTGGCTCAGATGCTGGCAGTTCTCGCTGCAGTCTACCGTTAGCGTCTCCTTTCAGGCCAGGATATACGAATGCCACCGAGCAGTGTCTAAGTTTGTGGTAAAAGGCTTGCACCCATTTGCACCCAGAAGTGTGAGACGGTCGATTTTCGGTAAGTGAATGTGTTTAATTGTAGGCAGGGACATTACTGGATATTCTTGTGTAATTGCTACAGAAGAATATTTATTTTATTATTTTACATTTACAATTTTTTTTCCTGGGGACCCCGTGACACCCCATTGAAGAGCCATAGGCTGGATCTCTTAAGGATCTCTTAAGATCTCACTGTTGGGTTTGTAAGGCCATGTTACTCCTAAATTTCTATCTTGTTCAAAGAGAAGATATAAAACAAAGTTCTAAGCTAATCGACCTTAGTGTTCTCCTTTTAAAAAAAAAAAAAAAAAAAGAATCGATAAAGAATCGAATCGTTAAACAGAATCGAAAATGGAATCGGAATCGTGAAAATCTTATCAATACCCATCCCTAGCTCTGACTACAATAATGTGAATCCTGAATCAGCCTCAGGTACAAATGTGAACTCTACACACACTGAATCATTAGTAATCAGATTACATGTGCAGTAAAATGTGTGACATCACTCTTAAAGTTTCAGAGTTTTGTAAAACTGATGAGCTGAATCACGACTTTCTTTAGTTATGTTGTGTTTCTGTTGTGGTGTCTGAATAAAATAATGAGCCTCTTAAATTTCAAACACACATGCACCTAAAATGTGGGAAAGTGTAAGTTTCCCTGATGAGATCAGTTCTGTGTGATTAAAGGATGAAAGTGTAAAAGGTCAGAAAGCATCATCACATCTTTGGCACCATTATTTCTTTGTTTTTCATTTTTGAAGTCGTATTTGTTCTGATTTTGTTTCAGGTCCATAAAAAGATTATTTCAACAAAACTCAAGACTCACGAACAACATCAGCAACAAAATCCAACTCAGCACATTTTGACAACGTTTAGAGAACTGCCAGCATCCAGATCAACAGCAGTTATATTAAACAATGACATGCTGTTGGTTTAATGTCAGAAGACTGATAATATGGTTCATCTTTGTATTCAAATCTTACTGTGTTTATTTCTGTTGTAATAAGTGGAGGTTGGATGGTGTTGGACATTGTTTCCATCATGACAAAATTTCATGATTTGGTTCTGTGAGTTTGTTTCAGTCTCTTATTTAAAAAAAATATCTTTATTTATCTTTCACTCACTTCCTCCTGGATTTTACCTGCGATCTTTAAAGCTTACTGTATTACATTTTTATTGCATATTTTTGCATATCAGTAACAACAACAAATAATAATAATAATAATACTAATAATAAGAATTAATAAGAATTAATAATTTTCATGTTAATTACATTACTTGTTGCCAAATTGTGATGCACAAAAACTGTATAGTCATTGTTCAGATTTTACAGTGTGATTCATGTCATCCCTGAGGCCATGAAAGAGAAAAAAATGTGTTTGATCAAAATGATTGTTTCTGTAGGTGATGTTTGTGTCTTTTCTGCTGTGTACAGTTTGATGTGTGTAAAATAATTTTGGTGCTTTAAAAACTAATCAAAATAATATCACAACAACACTTCCTCTGAGTGACCTGTTATGCTTACATGTGTATAAAAATGTTGTTTCTTCTTTATCCATTTTATTAAACTGCTGAAAATGACTCATGATTTCTGGCTGAGCTCCCAGAAAAGAGGAAGTGCAGCCTGTGGATGAAGAGAAAAATGTTTTGTTTAGTAAATGACTTGTTTTAGCAAAGAGGCAACAAGAAATGCAGACAATAACAGCACAGTGGTGTTCTCTTGACAACTTCATGCTGACATTGTCAAATATAAATATAAAATATTTTCTCAGTTGAAGGGATAAAAAGTGTCAGGTGTGCCCCTGTAGCTCTGCACTTGTTCTCTGTGTGGACTGCACATTTTTATATGATCTACCTGTACTGGGAAAAATACCACACTGTGAGAACTGATGAAAACTCTCATTTAGAAAAAAAATCAGCATATAGTTGTCAAGTGAAACTGTAAAGAGCATGTTTCTCACACTGATAACCAGCTGTTTTTATGATTATTTATGATATGTTCAGTTAGTTATTCTGTTTTCACTTTATTGCTGCCCGACATGTTGCTAACAGAACAAAGAAGTAATCTGTTCTCCACATCAGAGAGACATCAGTGTTCAAGGTCCTAAAGGACCCTTTATTTACCAAGTAGCCGCCTGGACTTATTTGGTCATTTTGGCTTTAAGAATCTCAGAATCAAACTATAAGTGAATACTTTTGCCCTTTTTTCAGAATAACCTCAGCGTTCAATATCGGGCAGTCATTTCACATTATTGTATTGTCATGAGTGGAACCACAGTTTAAAGTGGGAAAGAAAAACAAACTCTGTTTTTTCAGATTTATAGTTATGTCGAAACTGATATTCAACAAAATGTAACACAACATAACTTTAAATATGAACTCTACTAAATTGGTACAAAAACGTTTTTGAACCTATTCCACTTTTTTATAAATCATCCCTTTTATATTACAAATCTCCAGGCATTTTGGGGCGTTGCCACCTCTCCGCACCCGCCTCTCTGTTCCATGTGTCATCAATTCTTCCCTGTGATTGGACCGTCTTTGCACGTGCATTCTAATGATGCACTGTAAAGTTTCGTAATGCTCATCTTCTCATCTTTGAGATTCCGTTTGAAATGTCTCTCTTAAACCAACTGCTCGAGGAGTTACAGTAGTGTGGGTCAGCCATGGTAAAACCCAGCGGGAGTTGATTTTTCTGTGTTCAGACAGCAGCAGCTTGTGAAAGTAATACACCAAGTATCCCCGAAAAGCTCAGCTTCTGTTCTTTTCTGAACCATTCACATTTTCCGCTGGAGGGCCCAGAGTAAATAGGTCTAAGTGTCAGTGTGGATATACAGATATACAGAAGTACAATCACTGGACTGTGTTTACAGCTGGTGGCCAATAGAGGGAGACATTAATCAATTTATAATTTATTGTAGCTGTCATGGTCTCCCAGTCCTCCTGGTCAACCAACACGTTGTCTCTCCTCACGAGTATAATGAACTCGATACTTTACTTTCTGTTTCTGTTCTGTGTCTCCTGTACGCACTGCAGCAGTTTCATCAAAGAGGCAACCTGGCTGCCTTAAAGGTCATGAAAATTCATTCAGAATTAGCAACAATGATGGTAAATGGACTGATTCTTATATAGCGCTTTTCTACTCTCCCGGAGTACTCAAAGCGCTCTATACAACATGCCTCATTCACCCAATCACACCCACTCGTACAAGCACTTCTAAACTCAAGTGCAACTAACAAGCATTCACACACATTCACACTCCGATGAATGCATCGGAGGGCAATTTGGGGTTAGTATCTTGCCCAAGGATATTTGGCATGCAGACTGGAGGAGGAATCAAACCACCAACCTTCCAATCAGTAGCTGATCTGCTCTACCACCTGAGCCACAGCCACCCAAATGATGTTAGTAATTATATGACATCATCAGTGTTATATATTAAAAAGTATTGGTACTAGTATCAGTATCATCGATACAGGCCCTATATTTACTTGGTATCAGATCGATACCAAATCTTGCAGTATTGCTAACAACAAACAAACAGTGAAATATTAAGTTCTTTAAACTGTTATTATTTCAGCACCATGGACAGCACACAAGGTTTTTACTGCATGAGCTGTGCTCTCTAACATGTGACTGTTTGTAGTGTATACATCTCTCTCCCTCTCTTAAGGTGACAGGTTAATCATTTTCATTAATCTTCATAATATCAAAACCCCGGAAACACAAGGAAGGTGCATCATGATGAGACCCAGAACCAAAACATTACAGCAAAGCTGAATACACTAGTGTATATAACACCCAGCAGTGTGGTAAATTGTGCTGAGAGAGTATCTGCACCCCATAAGACCAAGAAGCCAAGAACACCAGCATGCTGTGTGAGAAACATGCATGAAAGTCAGAACACCTCTGTCAGTGCATTCACGTGGCTAGTGGGTCCTCTCTGTGGCTGACTGGCTGTTAACCCAGTGAGTGAGAGTTTCTCCCACTGCATTGGGCCGTATCCTTCTGCTGCACTAAAGGACAGTTTTGCAGCCATGTAGCTCTGCTCATGTCACGTGACACATGTCACAGTACGACAGTATTTTTTTTAAAAAAAATACTGTCGTACTGTTTCTAGGGTCCCTGTCCCTGGGTATATGCGTACTCTGAAGAGCACATCATGTCACTGTAAATGTTTATGTATATTTGAATTAAGAAATCATAAGAGAATCTGTCTCTCTCTGTACCCACAAACCACATATAAATTTATTTTTCTTTGTGTAACTTCAGGTTGCCAGATCATTGTCACTCTCCCCCTTTCCCATACAAAAACATATCTCAGATATAATCACCATCTAACATACAGAAAGACCTGTGACATATAAACACTGGGTTGTGTTTACAGCTGGTATTCAACATAGGGCGCAATTTAGTTATTCATCGCAATGGATTAAACTGCTTGGCTGAATGTTAAATATTTACAAGAGCTGTGATGATAAAGGAGACTTTGACTTCAGAGTCTATTACTTACATCACAGCATGTTGCAGAAGAATAAAAAAAACTCTGTGTGTTGTAAATGTAGCTGTAACTGTGTCTAAAGAACAACTTTAGATCAAAATCAATCTGCTGTCAGAGCAGGGCAGCTGTGGGTACAACTGTAGCCTCGACCAGTGTATGAATGTGAGAGTGAATGAATAGTGGAATTGTAAAGCGCTTTGAGGGCCCCAAAAAGCACTATATAAATGCAATCCATCATTATTATTATTATTATTAAAATAAAAGTTATTTTTTTAGAAAGGATGAAACATTTCTTATTGATTATTGGCTGAAAGTGATTAAATTTTTTAATGTTGTGACACAGTGCCCGACTCTCTGAAAGGGAGGGGAACATCTGAATGGAGGGAAACATTCAAAGAGGCATATGCCTGCTGAATGGCCTCCACAACCCTGTGGGACAATCGAGATTTAGACAAGGGTCTGTCCAGAAATCCAGAGTGGAAGCTGAAAAATGGCTGGTCTGACTTCCTTCTTTTTTTTTTTTTTTTTTTTTTTTTTTTGCCTGTCCCGTTTGGCTCTTTTGCCATCAGAATTGTTGTCTAAAGGCAGAGAAAGATGCCCAACGGATTTACTTTACCAAATTGACCATCCCAGCCTTGCTGTAATGGTCCATTTGATTCACCTTTTATTGTTTCTTTTATTTTCACTTACTGAATACGGGACAGACTTGACTGGGGGAAAGAAGGGGAGAAAGAAAGAGGGAAAGAGAAACAGCTGAGAAGAGGGACGGGGGAGAAGGGCAAAAGACAAAAACCAACAGAACGGGCAGAGAAGAAAAAAATGCATATATCAATCACCTGGATCACCTGCTGAGAAAGAAAAAAGAAAACAAGCAGAAGAGAACAAGAGCAACAGAACAAACAACATCACAATGATATATGGGAATATGACAGCAAATACCAAATATTAAACATCATTGTGCAGCACATAAGATCAACAGAACACAGTGTGCTTTGAGGTAGGAGCCAAAAAGGGTGTAGTTTGTGGGTGTGATCACCCGTGTGTACACCTGTGAGCATGGACGTGCTTGTTTTTTATTTTTTAAAAGGTTCCTTCTTGTAATAATCTGCTAGAGGGTGTGGGGGGGCCACAGCCCCGTCCTCCAGGGCATGAAGCAGGTATGGAGGAGAGCAAACTCCAGACATCCAGAGGCCCCCAGAACACAAGAGACCAAGGAAGACCAACAGAGGGGCAGCCGCGCCACTGTCCCGGAAAGAGCTGAGGAGAGTCCCAGATGAGGGCTCACTCAGCAGCTGCGGAGCAGAAGCCAGGGGGAGTTGAAGTGATGCGCCCGTGAGCTCCGCCGGCAGCCAGCCGCGCCTGAGTGACCGAGCCCCAGGCCGAGAGGCCGGGGGCACCCCACCTCCGAAGTGGCCCGACTTCCTAAACGGCCGGGTAAGCAAGACATGCTGTGCCAAAGCATGGAGATAGCACAGGGCAACCTGGCTCCCAGCTGTCTCCTTGTGCAGGTCCCCAGTGGGAGATATTCGTAACTCTGCATTTACTTGGACAGGTGAAATTCAAATAGGTCATCATCATCATCATCGTTTACTTATATAGCACTTTAAAAACACACAAGGCCGACCAAAGTGCTGAACAAAAGAAACACAACAGATACCATAAGAATAATAAATACGATAAAATAATAAACATAGCAAAAACAATAAGATACAAGTCAGTCAACCACTGAATCAAAAGCCAGTGAATAAAAATGCGTTTTCAATCTGGATTTAAAAACCATCACTGATGTCGATTGCCTAATTTGAAGAGGAAGATTATTCCAAAGCTTAGGAGCCACAATAGAGAATGCTCGGTCTCCTCTCAGTTTCAACCGTGATTTGGGGACTGAGAGCAACAGC